GTGAAAGCAAGAAGAGCGTTTGGTGGCTTCTGAACAAATCAATGCAACTCCACGAGGCACCTACTATAGACCGCTTGAGTGTGGAACTCGGTCGACAGTGCCCTACCGATGTTGATGTCGGCAAGTGGGTTGCAAAGGCTGTTGCTCGTTTAGTATATATTCTAGAATTCAAGCTCCTCTGGTCCGCACATCCGACCAGCTTGCCCCACAGTGTCTACTCGTGCAAATCACTTGTAGAACTGACTCTCTCCCACAAGATTCTCGTGGATGTTCCTTGTTCCGCTTGCCTCCCTTCCCTTAGACAACTCGACCTTCGATGTGTGGTATACAAGGATGAGGATTCTCTCCTTAGCTTATTATCGAGCTGCCCTGTTCTCAAGCTTTTGTTTGTCCGAAGGAGAAAGGACGACAATATTAAAAAGTTCACTGTCAAAGTGCCTTCTCTATGTGAGTTATGGTATTCTGACTTTTCCTCTGGCAATGATAAGGATACTGATAGGTGTTTGGTTCTTGATGCTCCTGCAATGACCGACTGGATGATCTGTGATTCTTCGGGAGTATGCTCTTACTCGATCCATGATATGCCCTGTCTCGAGCATGCACATGTCAATGTTCAGTCTTATCCTGATGAAAAATTTCTAGCTTCTCTTTCTTCAGTCTTGTCTCTTTGTTTGTTTTTGTCTGATGTAATGGTAACTCTCTAACATTCTCTCTTTCTTTCCTTGTGATTTCATCTACTTACATTGTGTGTTTGTTTCGTGTTCGCAGGTTATGCCTTGAAGCACCATCAACTTCTCTCGGCTTATAAAGTTAAGCATAGATCCACATGGATCTTTGGACTGGTTGAAACCAATCCTACTTTTACTAGGAAATGCTTCAAAACTACAAGAGCTTTTGGTAGATAATGTACGCATCCTCCTCCTCTTCGAACTTTGATGTAAATTTCTGCTTAATACGTACCTCTCGTTGCTTGTTAGAAATATGCCTACAAACCCGAGGATCTCCCAGGTTCATGGAACCAACCCAGCTCTGTTCCCGTGTGCTTGTCATCACAGCTCGAAATATTCGAGTGGAGAGGCTATGGGGATGGACTAGAAGAGAAAGAATTCTTGATGTACATTTTTACCAACTCTAAGCGTTTAAAGACAGCGATAATCTCACTGAGATCCAACTTGGATCTTGAAGAGCAAGAGCTGATCATCGAGGACTTGAAAGATATTCCTAGGGTTTCCACGGCATCTCACCTTTTATTCAACTGAAAATTCTATTTACTCGTAAACAATTCACACGTCAAATAAAGAAAAAAAAAATACTAATAAAAGTAGTTGAGAGTATACAGCTTTTTTCAGAAATCGTGACCAAAAAACAAAAACAGCCGTTTAGAAATCCACCAAAAAGGTTGATTACTCATATAAGTAGTTGAATGTAACTCTACTCATTGCATCTTCTGCTTTGTGCAGTGTAACTGAATATTCACTCTGTGAGAGTGCAAGCAAGCAATTCAAGAACACTTAACAATAAAATCGATATTCAGATGATTTTCGCCCTGGTCAATAAGAAACTTGGCGACCAAGCAATCTATGTTAGGATTTGTTGACTTAAGAATTAAGCGTTAAGACCAAACCCTACTAGCTACTTTTCCCATAATCAAACATTTCTCCAAGGATTACAACAGAGGCTTGATTAAGAGTTTGCAGCACTACTTTGGGGTAAGAAAAAAGTCAAACTAACATTAGGCACAGAAACTATTTTCCCCAAGGAATGACAATGGCTGGGTGTTCTTTTCTGATTTCTATACATAATAAGATTTAACAGAAAATGTCCGATTTTCTGGATTTCTTTTACTGTGAGATGCTTTCCGTAAGGCTGAAACAAGAAAGAAATGAGTTTTGTTATCTTCATTCAGTCATCCTCATCATCGTCCACGTCAAGTACCATCTTCAGTTTCCTTCTGCTAAGCGGACTTTGAGTGAGGGACGCAGTAATAGTTGCGGCGTCATCACCAGAATCTGCCAACTCATCTTCCTCCAGTTCGTGATCTGATGAAAGATTTGGATCTTCTGGAGATGAAGTAGAAGGAGCATTGTCGCTGATATGAACATCTGTTGGGGACTCTTTACTTTTCCCGGAAATGTAGTTTCGATCATTGTCCTCATCTTCGCCAATGGTAGGTACATGTGGACTAGCTTCATTCCTAATTACAAAAGAGTGACTTTATGAGACTTACTCATGAGATCAATCTCACAAGTTGGTTTTAATTCTGAGTTAATCGGATGAGAGAAAATGAGTGGAGAGTTTTACCTTTCTGTGTTGTCTTCTGGAGTAATCTCGTTGCTTGAGCTTGTGTGCTTCTCGGTCTTCTGAGTTTTTCTGCTCCTCCTACAAAAGAAAACTCACAATATCAGTTTGCATCACAACTGATCTTGAACTCAAATATAATAACTTTTTACAGTTCAAGAAACTACGTTTGATCTTCATGGGAGCCATTAGTAAATCTTATCTACCTGTCCTTGAATGCTAGTAATGTTTCATTGTCGGGTTCATCTGCTGAAGAATCATCATGGTCATCTTTCAGCGTCATGCCAGCTTCTGACTTCTTACCACCAGGGAGACGTAAACCGAGTTGCTTTAATTTACGTGAAACTTGGGCAGTGGTATATGTATTTTCAGAGCCCAACTCATTGGCAATCAAATAACAGCAGCGTCTTTTGTCCTTGAACCTGCACATAGACAGCATTAGAAAACAAGGAGTCAATAAACCTGTTGCACAGACAGACTTTATACAGAGGAGGTAAAGTTTAACACTCACTTCTCATAGAGTTCCTTGATAAGTGTTTCCTGTTCTTTGCTAAACGAACTCACTCTTTTTCTGGTTTTCCTGTTTCAAAGGCAGTAGAGGAGAGTCATTAAAATCCAAAACTAAATATGTTAAGTTTGAAAAATATCGTAAACTCTAAGAGATACTTACAAAGGTTGCCTATCTGATAAGTGATCTGGATCATCATTTCCATTCTTGCCTTCACTTGCTTCCAGAGAGCTATCACCACGGCGAAGTCTTTTCCTTGTTTCTAGACCTAGATGTTTAAGCTTGTTAGTTACTTGTGCAGCAGAAATACCACCATCAGGATCCAAAGTTTCGGCTATAAGCCGGCTGCAATCTCTATCATCTTTGAACCTGCAACAATTTCATTATAAGCAACCAATTGAGCCAAACTGTAAAGTACCATGATTCACTTGAATTTTCCAACTTCCAATGCTTATGAAATGTAAACCATGGATCAATGCTTATATTACTCGAGTAAGAAATAGCAGTGACATTATGCAGAATGGTTTATGTTATTCACTAACTACTCTACGAATCCAACAAAACATACCAATCGTATAGCTCTTTAATTTTTATCTCCATGTCAGCATCAAGAACAAGGTTTCGCTTTCTTTTAGATGGTCCTGCAGATTCATCTTCCACAATGTGAATGTCCTCACTGCAGCAAGCAAAATCTCAAGCATTAGCAAATCAAATGAACAGTATCTTCAGCTAAGAAGAAACATAAGGTATACAAACTAATATCATAAGGGGAAGTTTCTCTTCTATCAAACGAAAACCTTTCTTACTTTTGAATTCCTTGACCATAAGATATCCCCAAATCAAATTCATCATCACCTAGAGCATCTGCTAGGTTTCTGCGGGCCCATCCTTTCTCTGTTGGCGAGACATTTTCCTCAGTTCCTGAGACACCTTGATTTCCCATTTTTTTTCTTAGATGGCCAAGCTCATGCAACATATATTCAGCATTTATGTAATGGCATTCTTTGCGACTCTTTGAGAAGAGAATTTCCACAAAGAGAAGAGGTTGTGACTTCATTTTCTTCAACATACTTCTAACCAGCTCTGTCAGGAAGGAAACTATGTTTTCATAGTCTTTACAAGGACAAGCTTTCTGTTCATCAAGGATCTTATGGAATGTTATTAGCAGTGACAGCTGCAAAGATTAACCCAATAAAATAGTGAGGAAGATGCAAAATAATAAATCGAAACTTATCAATTGCGGGATGTGATTTAAATACTAACCTGATACAACATGGGAGATAGTTCCAAGTCTTTTGTAATCCTCCGCAAAATGCTTATTATGTGGTGATTCGTCTGTTTTGGGTTGCTTTTGTAAAACTTTAGCAACCAGCATATGTTTTGAATGATGCTGTTGCTTGCAAAAGCAGAAATAAATGTAGAAACCTTAAAATCAACTTCATCTGTTGCAGTTTGCTCTTCGCCATCAGAAGAATCGTCAGTTCCGCAAGACAGATCATCGACCACATGGTTTGATTTAGGGCTGTGTGTTTGTTGAGTTTCATCGGCTTCAATCCCTAGGTTGGAATCCCCTGGATTATTGGGAGGAACATCCATTGGTCCATCCTCAGTAGAAACTTTTGAGTTAACCATCGGTATGCTTTTTGCGGTGCTAGCTTCGTTTGATGTACTTGGATGATTTTCAGACAGTTCATGCACTGTGGCCTCCTTATTTCTCATGGGTTTTTTCTTTCTTGCTTTTCTTGATTTTTTTGAAACCTGGGGCATGAAACAGAGATTTGGTCGAAAATTTGCATAAATAACCCTTGACACATGGTAATAAGTGTTGTCTATCATCTAATCAAAGTTTCATATCCAAGCAGTTACATACCCTCAATGTTCCACGCCCTTGAAGGTTTTCCATAAGGCCTACTATTATATGGATACTTTCCACCAGATCTCCAAGCTCACTGGCAAGAAACAAAAAGTAATTTCAAGCAAATTAGATTTACAAGTTAAGTAATTGTCAAGCACCATTATACAAGAAAAAACATTAAAATGAGTTTTCCAACCAAGCATTTAACAAGTCAAACAAGAACACATGCATACTATCACATATATCACACTAAAGAGTTGGGAAATCATTTATTGAAAGATACTGCATGCACTCAAGATTCTGAGTGCAAGAAAAAACCGAAGCAGAGGCCAACCTTTTAGGTTGCTTGTGCGTGTCAAAACTTCTCACCAGATTCAGGATGAACTGACACATCCCTTGATCAGTTTGGTCGTAAAACAACTTATAAAGCAAGATGCGGACAGTAAAAGCTTCTCTAGAGTCTTCAGGTAGCAATCTAAGTACCAGATCTAACAAGCAAAGCTGCATTGAAAAAAACCAAGTGAAGAATGCAGACATTAGTATCCGCTATTAATTGCTGAATAAAATTGTTTCATCTCTCCTACTGGTAAACCGCTGACAAGTCTACAAATAACAACGAGCTACAGAAACCATCTAGAAAAATAAATAGACATCCAGAAGCACTCTTAAAGAATTAGCCCGCAAGAGAAGCATGCATATTTCATACCATAGTTTTCAAAAGAGAGCCTGCTGCAGACAGAAACTTAAAATCTTTAGTTTCCTTCAGACCATCAAATGCATAGCGCCATTTTGAAATGACAAGCGAAAACATTCTGTCATTAATTGTTGCTGCAATCGGTGCACAAATGTCACTCTTAGAAAAGTTTCCTCCTGCATTCTGATCGGTAGAAAGTTCAGAAGTTTCTTCTGTTCCTGTTGCTTGCTGAAAAGGAATATAAGCCAGGTAACCCAAAAATCACGGACATCAACCATTGTAGAAACTACAGAGAAATAAATGCGAAGCTACTTAGACAAATGAGAGGGAGACAAAACCAAAGTAGTTCAGTAACTCACATTAGACGCCAAAGACTTGTGAAACTGGAAAGATGTGACAGCTTGAGCAACCTGGAAGAAAGTAACAATGTCGCTATTTTGAATGGAGGGATGCTCCTTTTCTATATCTTCACATACTGACTGCATCAGAACTAAGAGATATGGTACACCATCATCAGCATCAAGCTACTGAAAACCAAGAATAAGCAAAAGTCACTGCTCTATTGTGTCACATACCATTATATCCTCCTGACATAAACTGATTGATAAAATCATGCAGCAACTTCAAAACAATGTCATTTGTCACGGACATTGGTCCATGTTCCCAGACAATCTTTTCTGTGGCTCCACGACCTTTGTGAGGATTTAGTGTTGTGCTCTCCGTAGCAGATGGTATTCCCTTTAGTACAGCTTTACTGCCACCCTATCCAAAATTTTCATTCAAGTTACAAACTTTTATAATGACATAACCTTTAAAGCATCATCGCAGGAAATAATACCATGGTAATGCGGGTGAACGTCCCACCAAATTGCGAATGACGCTGATTCATATTGTGGAGTCGTGCAAGCTTTTTCTTTACTTCCTCCTCCTCCATTAACTTCTTCAAACTGTCTACAGAAGCATTTTTTCCTTGATCCAACTGCCAAAACAAAAATTTGATAGTCCACCACAGCATCAATACCAAAGAAAATTATTTCAATCTGAGAAATCGTATTGATCCAGTTGAAACGTTAACCTTCTCCGGAGCCTTTGCAATGAGCTCCATATCTTGACCCAAAAGAATATAGTGATAAATTTCCAGCAGAAGTAGGTTGTCATGTCTCAACAAACTGTTAGAACCTTCAATAGTCTGAGTGATTACTAGAAATATGTCCATCACGTTTTCACGAGACAGGAGTTGAAGAAACTGATCCCTCAGCGACAAAAAGTAACAAGTGGATTCTCCAGCCTTCTGAAGCGGGGAAATATCATGTATAGCCAGTAAATTCTTGAACAGAGTGAGCACAAGCTGAACCAATTTCCAATCTTCCTCATTGAATACATCTCTGGAAAGCACAAGATCAGTTTACACCACACAGCAAGTACTTATTCACACAATATGATTTGATGTTAGGACACTTACGATTCTAAGTTCTCGAGGGGAGCTTCTAGCAAAGAGACAATCACTGCAACAATGTTACTGAAAGTAATGGCAGATTTCAAACCCCATAAATACTCTATCTGCTGAGGAATATCATCTGAATCAGGCTCTATAGGCATTGTGAGAAACACCAACACCTTCACTGAACAACCAGATTACCAATATAATCAGCAAAATTAAACAAGCTTGAAGAACAAATCGAAAAAATGACCAAAAAAAAAACAGTTACCAGCATTTAAAACTAAGTTATGTTCATCTTGGTAATGCTCAATGATCGGAATCAAATCTTTGGAGACTATATTCCAAGCACAGACCTGCTTGAATACTTCTCTGCTCTCAGGATCGTCGCGTCTCAGAAATCTCAGCAAGTCTTTTAGATTATCTGAACAACACAAAATTAGATTTAAGCATCTGAAACTCCAACAAGCTCAAATAATTAGATTCATTTAGCGATGGAAAATTAAGATTTGATTTTACCAAGACAGTAATCGCTTTTGGAGTACCCAATTCTTCGTCTATTGTCGTCTTCCTCGGGAACACCGAGATCGCTGCAGATGACTGATAAACCCTCCAAATCCATCTTTTTCTTCGTTGAGATTCTCTCTTCCACATCCATCTTCTTCCTCAGATTATGGTTTTCCAATCAAATAAAAAAGAGAAATCAAACGCTCTACGAAAATCACCAGAGATTATAGCGAAACGATAGACTTCGAATCAAAACGTAAACATTGAACAGAGCTTCTGTACCACTAATCTCAGTGATTAGGGCTCTGTTGGCGCGTATAATTCCAGACATTTTCCCGCCATTTCCATATACCACAAAAGTCAGAGCACCAATATTTGGCCCATTTGTAATTAATGGGCTTTAAAATGGGCCATAGATAGAGTTTATATACGGCGTCGTTCGGGGATTGTATTTGTTTTGTTTTTCTCGTTTTCTAAAAAGTAATTAAATTTCCAACTACTTATTGATTTGTCACTCTCTTTCGATACGAACTAAGCGA